GATCCGAGCGGGAAATCCGAGGAACGTTGAGCTCATCAAGGACTACATTGGCTTTGTCGGAGCTGACTACATGCGACAACTCACAAATGGTTGAGCATTGGGGTCATACCGACATACTACTTCCGGTACTTCAAGTACTGAGGGATCTTGTGTAATTCATGATGACCGTTTTGGCATCATGGGAGTGAGAGAGGAATGTGTTTCACACCGTTGGTAATCGCATGATACCATAGGTAGGTGCACGTTTTCCGTTTGTAGCTCCATTACCTGTTTGATCTAACTTTCAAGCGAATGCAAGATCGTTTGCTAATTCAGTTCAATAGGACATACTGGTTGACCTCCAATACACTTCTGAGAACGTGATTTGTTCTCCGGTTTTTACATCCACTCATCTCCCTTCCCCGTCGAAGTACGGATGTGGGGGGTGTCAATAGGGATGAGGTCCCAGTATAGTTGCTATACAGGTACATGCCATATACTTTTGGCTCAAGTGCCCAACCAGGTAAAAGGGAGCTTTAGCGCGCGAGCTTCATGTTGAACTAAGGGCTAGAACGGGGCCAGGGCACACCTTTCCATCCGTTCGCATTATTTAAGATATTATATGTAATGAATTATTGGAATTTATTAATTTTTTGTTTATGAAAGATATTTTATTTATAAAATCGATATGGGACGAAATTTTGTTGAATAATTTGATATGAATTGGATATAAATTAATAAATTTTTGCTTAATGATGCAATAATTATATAGGAAATATATATATATATCAAAATATTTCTTTTTTTTTTTAAATACATATTTATTAATATAATATATATTAATATTATTTATTAAATATTTTTATATAATATTTTTAAATAAATTAATTAATATCTTTAAAAATTATTGATATTTGTTTAGATTAGGCATTAATAATTATATTTTAATCCCCCAAATTGCAAAAAATATCGGAATGAGGGGGAATGAAAGAATAAATGAGGTGATTGATTTGAATGTCAAATTATATATATCGTAATGAGGTGAAATCGGGCACCTGTGGTCCCTAGCGCAATGGTTAAATCCTATAAAATTATGACCAATTATATATCCCAATTGCCGTTGCGACAATTGGAATATCTAAGATGGAAAAAATCAATGAAGCACCAAAGGCTCAATTTGGATTAGAATCCAGAATGAAAATCTTTAATTATTTCATTATATATGGATTTCCATTCCTTTCTTTCTGTCCTTCTTTCTTGTCTCATTGTTTGTCTATTATGATTGATATCTTGTTTATCGTTATTATCATATTTCTCCATATTTATTTCCCCATTTGATTCCCCCCTTGATTTGCCTATACGATCGATATTTTATTTGATCGTAGCGATGATCGTCGCCATTGCCTTACCTTCTCCCCAACCAAATCCGATATCGTCATGATCTCCCTATATTCAAAAAATTCCGGAAAAATACATCAAGAATAAAGAATCCCAACGATTTCGATAATGCATAAAAAACCCGAATTAATATATTGTTTTAAGAATTATTTATTTCAATATTAGAAAATATAAACGAATATGATATATTATAAATCAATAATATAAATTCTATTTGAATATTAATATATATATCAAAATGGATAAATATATTTCCTATTAATTAGAAATATATTTATTCCCAGATTTTGCGGGGTAGAATTTTGTGGCAAAGCCACCCCCCCCAAAGCAAGAGCAGGAATAGTAGTAGTAGTAGTGATAATGGTAATGGTGGTGATAATAATAATATTGGTGATAGCCGCAACAACAGGTTATTTAATTTCCATAATTTATTTAATTTCTGAATCATTGCCACCAATTGATCAGGAAATAATTGATCATTCATACAAAAATACATATTTTATATTTCGCCAGATCTTTCGGCAAAAAAACATATATTTTCGCCAATTCGAGAAAAATTCATCAAATGAGATTTTGATATGTTCATCAAATGAGATTTTGATATATTCCGGATTATCGTTATATATAATATTGTCTAGGACCTTTAGATCGATAATCATATATATATATATATTATTTCGAATAAAGATTCAAAAAATTATCATTATTAAAATATCTCTATTTATATAATATACATATCCTATCTATTATATCATATATTTTAGATTATCAAGATATATATATAATATATTTATTGTATCACTAATATTTTTGAAAATATACATAAATTGAAATAAATGCTCCTTTTTAAATTATATATTCTATTCATATTATAATTAAAAACAATTACTTCCAATAACAGAGAATTATACGAGAAAAGAATTCATTTTCATTCCCTTCCAGCCTGAGTCTCTTCAGGCCCATATTGGGCAGCACAGCTAAGCTGCGGGTGCTTCTAGGAGCATCTAGCCACAGTCACGATGCAAAGCGAATGCTTCGAAGAAGGCTCAAACGGCCTGGTTGGAAAAGGCCGTAGCCAGCAAGTCGGACAGATCGACGGTCTATTCTTCAATGGGCCTCCGCACCATACATTCAAGTCCTCCTGCGGGACCAGTCAAAACAGGTAGGCAGAGCGGCGGATGGGGTCGACGACCGGGCACCTGATTGCCGATCTGCCATCGTCTGTCATCCAGGAACTGCCCGAGCTAAGAAACAGGCATTGGTAGTGACCGCTGTCTGGATCTTATCCGAAGTGACACAGGATGGCCACCACTCGGTATTGTGTCGAGCTGACATCCCGGCCGGTGCTATTGTTGAAGATCGGAATGTGGACCTCAGAACGGGAGAAGTCCACGGGTGTGTCTTGCTTCAAAGCAAGTGCAGGAAATCGTTCGAATTGCAACACTATGCATGATTGGGCATGAATGCAGGCATTCGTGTATGGACCCTGGCCATGCCACATGTTGATCAAAACTTGCAGGTCGCCTCTCTTTTCAACCGGCATGCGAAGCAGCAAAGGTGCAAGTAAAATACCACGATCCTCAATGCTATTGGCTAGTCGAGACTGCCAGCCATGATATTCCTGTCCCCAGGAATGGCCACTGAGTTGTTGACCCCTGAGCCAGCCCAAAAATTCCGTTGCACCCTGTTATTCATTGGGTGCATATTCTTTAAACCAGGGTTGCAACAACTTCTGAAAAGGAACTGAAGCACATAGATCCCCACCACCGGAGGTGTTGAGCAATTCAAGTAGAGGAAATCTCCATTGATCCCATAGCTCTGGATCAAACCCCTCATAGGCCAAAGTGGCCCAGTGTTGCCCCAACAATGCTGCATTGATATAGCAGGCATTGGATGAATTGTGTAGCTTGATTCGAAGCAACTGATGCATCAGCGTCGCACACGGTGGGCGATTACTGTAGCAAGTGGGGATCTTTGCAGGCCGGTTGGCCTCAATCGAAAAAGGATCAATTGGCAGATCCCGTTTCCGCTCAGGAGGTTGAGGATCTCGTAAAGCTGCGTCGATGCGGCGCTGCGGATGCTGACATCGAGGCGCCACGGGATCGTCACCTGGGAATCTTCGGGAACCTGATCTCTGTTCATGGGCTTGAGGGCAGAGAAGCATTGGATCAGATCTCCCTGACTGGCCAGTTGGGAGAGCTGAATGGTGATCTCCTAAATCCTTTCGTGCTGCAATCGCTGTTGTTTCGTAGCAATATATCCTTCTGCCTGAGTGCCTGCACCAGGGAATCGTCCTGGTTGTCGTATTGCAGCTTCGTCAGCCGTTGGATCATCACCTCGACCACTTTGAAGGAATTGACCTATCGGAGGGAACATGTGACTCCAATATTTTGTCTCTGATGATGTCATTCCTTGGCTGCCAGGATCATTTCCGGGAGGATCCAGCCTTTGCCGTCCTACAAAAACAGAAGGAAATTGCGGTCCAAGGCCATTTAATTGAGCATATCTTCTTGGCGCAAGGTCAATTTGGCCAGCATCATCAGGAGCTTTAAATCCCCCTCGTGCCTCGAAGAGGTGGATGAGGAGTCGGATCGGATTTTCGATCTGCCTTTCCCAGCTTCTTTTTTCTGCGATGATTCCACCTCTGTTTGTGGACGCTTAAGATGGGCCTAACAGGTGTCCAAGAGGTCGGTAAATAATATGTCGTCAATCGATATATTGTCTGCGATGGTCGAATCCGGCCGGTGTCAAGATAAAATCTCTAGCCAGGGCGTGCTCGAATTCAAAGATTGCTGTGCAAAACCAACTAATTCGATCTAGTGGATTTGGGTCCAAAGCAATCGTTCTACGATCCCACCATGAATCAAAATTATCTACAAATCAGATCCAATACAATAAAATTCGCTACACAATCCAACGAACGATATGTCCAAATACAACGTAACCTAATATAAATCATGCAAATAAATAATTCCCCTCATAATAAATATATACCAAAACAAGCGGGTTTCCGATCGAAATTAAAACATAAAAAAACATATATAATAAAATAATCGATATAAAAATATTTTTTATTTTAAAATACCATAATATATTTTAAAAATATCTTCATATATAATCTAATCTTTATAATTTTCTTAAAATTCAATTAATACATAAAATTCAAAAAATATAAATATATTTATTCAATCATTATTTTCCATATCCATTATAAAATTCATCAAAACCATTTCTAAATCATATTATTTTTATATTGTATATTAATTTTCGAAATCCTATTCCTAAATTATTTCCATTAAATAATTTAATATATTTCTAAATATCCATTAAATATTTTAAATTAATATATAATATATTTGTTCATATATTAATATCAATATTAATTTCTTATATTATATCCTTTCCAAATCATTAATTTCTATTTTTAATTTTATCTATATCCATATAATTATTAAATCTATTCCCATATACAATCAAATATTTATACATAATTTTTTTATAATATATTTTGCGTCTATACATAACAAAAAATCGATGAAATTCCAATCCAATATTCGGAAAATATCTAAAATTCAATATGTATATAATAAATAAACCAAAATATTCAATATTAATTAATTCAATTTGATTTGGTATTTGACCAAGATCAAACGATCAAGATTAATCTTTCATCATGAATCGGCATCCTCCAGGTCGACGACCACCTGCCAATGACTGATACCTTGGATAGATCCGCAATCATATTGGTCAATTCCAATTATGATTGTGTTGCAACCGAATCGGTTGGACTTCGATGATTGTGATGGTTTTGTAAATTGAAATCCGTCAGCAGGAGAGACACTGGATCTATTGTAGAATGGTGTATTGTATGATGCATCCAACAGCAAAATGGTTGATGAACAAGTCAAACAACTGCCAAAACTCAAACGCATGCAGATAATTGTGATGTCTATCTAACTCTCCTCTCCAATCCATATTTTGGAATTGACACACTCCTGTACTCCTCTTGTTCACAAAACTTTCAACAACAAGCTGCTCTTCCTATGACATCCCCACAGCCTCTCATGATATGTTGGCTGCATCTCGAGAGTCCAGTCTCATTGTGGTGAGTTTTTCTCCTTGTCCAGTCAATGTCTTCCTTGTCCGATTGGAGATCGGAGCCTTGGGCGGCGGGGTTGGCATCTTTTTCGCCAGCACCGGTGCAGCGCCTCAGGACGCACATGCGATGAGGCGAGACTCCATTGGAGACTCCATTGAAGCCCATGAGACCCCATTGGAGCCTTGGCTGCCACAGGAATACAATGCATTGATCTCTTGGTGTCAAATCCGGTTCTATTCTATCATTCTATCCCGTGATCGCAAATGGTCGAGGAGCTTCATCAATCACACATATTATTCACAAAACAACCAGGAACTAACGTCATCTTCCCAAAGAAAGTGTCGCCGCAATGTTTTGGGATGTTTTGGGCCAACGGGTGGAACACAACAACATACTACTAGGAACAAGAAGCTACTAGGGGCTCCTGGCATCGCTACTAGGAGCAAGGACACTACTAGGGGCTCCTGGCCGCACTACTAGGAACAAGAAGCTATTAGGAACAAAAAGCTCATTGAATTAGAATTGAATTAATTTGAATTAGAATACCAACGGCCCTTTTCAAAGCTTCAGATTCTCACTCCATCAGCCTGAGTGACCTGGGGCCCCACACTTCCACCATCTCCTCGACTCATCTTGGCTCGTTGCTCAGCCATGGTCTGGCAGCTATCCCGGGGTGCCAAATGGATAGGACAAATCATATGCAGCTGCCCCAGTCAAAGCGACCAAGCACCAGGACCGAGTTGCACACCCACAGAAGTGCTACACCTAATCTATACCAGTTGAAGGAGCTTCAACTACAAGTATCTTCAACTAGAGTTTCGTGAAGTGGACGTGCAGCCTGAGTGAACTGCTCCACTTCCACATCTCGTCATTCCAAACCAAGCGTACCTTCCCAAACATAAAACCCCTCAATGAAACATCACCAAGCGAGGCTGAGATCTGTCAGCTTGACCTCGAAATGCACCGCCCAAAAGGGATTGGCTCCTTCCCGACAGAACCGGCCTGGGCGAGCTGCGCGAGGGGGATGGGTTCCATCTTCCGCTTCGTCTGGGCCTGGCCGGTGTCCACACTACCATCGACCCGCTGGTCCCCAGCCCCTTGGAGTCTGAGACAGTATGAAAGGAGATCAAAGGAGACAATATAATGGCTCCTGGCATCGCTACGAACAGAGCGTTCGGACGCGAACCGAACGGGGCTCCTGGCCTTACGACGAACGGAGCCAAGGGCCGAACGGAGCGACGCAGGGATCTGTTCGACTGGTCGACTGGATCTCGTCGCCGGATCTCGTCACCTTCTCGGACTTCTCGGGCAGCTTCGGCTTCTCAGAGGCTGAAGCCTTGAGCAGCCGAGGTTTGACACGAATTGGACCTGACCACTGAATGTCTCATCTATGTCAAAAGTCTTCAGAAACCACCTTTGGGATGTTTTGGGCATACAGAAGTGCATGTTGTTTGTTTGACTGTTGCATTTGAGGATGTTTCAGACTGGGAAGTATCGTAGGCTAGTAGGATGGGATCTTATCTTGCAATACTTGACAGGCCTTTGTACACACACATTGATCCAAAGCAGGTCCAAAGAGAGTTGGAACATCTGCCCGTCAGTTTCCCTTGAAGCTGGAGGCCTCGCCTTTTCTACTCTTCAAGTGTCAAAACTAAGTGCTGTAACAAAGCAATTATCCAATGGATTTACAAGTGGTGATGCCTGAATAAACAGTTGACAGTTGCACCAAATCCATTGTGTTTGAAGAAATTTCACATGGATTCACTGTTCGGTCGATCCACTTGAGCGTCACTTAGATCTGGCAGCAAACTCATCGCTGTAAAACCTCCTTTTCTGACTGTTTCCTGTGCATTGAGGCTGCTTGGAGACCATCCATGCTGATGAACAGGGTCGTGCACAAACGACCAGGTTTCTCTCAAAGGCCGCACATGGCACCTCGTAATGCAACAACGGCACATAAATATATAGTTGTTATCACATGTTAACGTGAGGATACATAAGGGAGGTATCAATGGCAATTGGATGCAATTGGCGCCCTTCTTGAATTTTCTCCGACACTCATATTTGGTGGTGCAAGGCATTGCCCATCAGCAGCACGAACCTCTCAGGCAAGCCATCGACAGCAGCATGACATTATCGCATTGTAGAGGTGAAACTTCAAGCCAAACTATGGTACGGAGCCGCAGATCTAAGTGGAATGGATGGAAGTTGAAAGCTCCATGCTTCGCGGAAGCCTGTTGGGAGGTGAGTGGAGCTGTGTTGCACCAGAATATTCCGGAGTCATAGTACGAATATCTCCTCCACTTACTTCAGTCTTCAACAAGGAAACGCTACCCAAACAACCTGGCAGTTCAACTCCCTATCCACATCCCACATGCTGCGACAATATGCCTCACAGCCCGCTGGTGAGGCCTGTCATGATCTGTGTCAAGTCCGACCATGCCAGTCCATCCTCAGACGCCTCCAGGCGTCTTCGTGCTTCGTCTACACGTATCCGAACCCTTCGAGTGCCACAAAGGTAGACACCCTGCTCCAAGCGACACAGAAGAGCTCGCCAGGCACGATATCGACTGTTCACAAGCTCGGCGACCGCTGCATCCACAGGATCATCCGGCTTGGCGCGATACTCCCAGCCTGACAAAGGATCCTCTGACAGAGACGTCTTAGGGAGTCGCTTCAAGGACGTGGGAGCTGGATTGATAGCTTGTGGCTCTGCGTTTTGAGGTGATAGGACCCCCTCACCAAACGAGGTTTCCGGATGTTCACGGCCAGCGGCGACTTTCTCGAGTTCGTTCATCTGTTGTCTGAGCCTCCGCATCTCACGAAGTAGCTCCTGGGACTGTCTTCCCGTGCTCTGGGCACCTTCCAGCTCATGTTCCCGTCGGACGGCCGAGCAATAAGACTCCGCCTGGGAAGCGGGTGAAGGGTTCGAAGGGCTCGGAAAGATCTCCATCCGACTCGGCGTCTCTCTGTCTCCATTCATCGGGTCATTCAACCCATGTCGAGCTTCCTCCAGTGGCGCCTCGCCCCAAGCATCAGCTCGCAGGGAGCGGATCTCTTGTTCCAAGACCTTCACACGCAGCATCGCTGTTGGTCCGAGCTTTCGGGGGTCTGACTATGTTGACAAAGTCTTCTCGTGTACTAGTCTAGTACTAGTTCACAAACACATGTCACCCCTTCTCCACTCACCCAGCTCTTAGAGTTGTATGTGTTTGAAGCATTGCATGCTTCACACGTTTCTTGCAGACTCGAGTCTCCAGCCTCCACATGTTCGGCTTTGCGCTGCAACTGCTCAGCCAAGGTGCTGCACCGGTCCTGTTGCTCGGTGACCAAAGCCTCCAAGTCCTCCATGCGCAAGCGCAAACGTTGAAGCTCACGGAGCACCTGCTGGTTGAGCTGGGCCTCCTGGGAGTTCAATCGATTTCGATCCGAAGTTGATTGAAGGGTGGGAAGCCACGACTGCTGGTTGCGGTGAATGAGCTCAGGAAAACACTTCGCAACGGTTCGCTAAGGGGTCTAATGATAGATTGTGTTCGTTTGTGTTCGTCTTTACACGGTGATGCACGAATCAACGAATTGCCACTGCTTCCTCCAGCTGGCTTCCTTGATAATATGGAGAGTTGCTGCCCAGTGACCTGCTTTGGGGCACTTGTTGCAGCTCCTCAATCTGTTGCTCACGCATTTGTAGCAAGCTGGCGAGGAACTCCAATTCCTTGTGCTTGGCCGCCATCATCAACGCGCATTCTTCATCCTTCGTTTCCAGAGCTGCCTGCAGACCTTCTTGTGGGGGCAGCTGCTTCTCTGAAGCCACCAAGCGGGCCTTCAAGTGAGCAATCTCTGCCTCCTTTTGCTCCAGCATCAACGAATGCCTTGGCTGATCATACACCAGTAAAACAGTTTGGGGACGTGAGTGAGTTTACGCATGTTTACGCTAACATTTAAGCTATATATCATATGAAATCGCTTAAACTTTGCCCCACGATGCTGTTGCTGTTGAAGGCTGAGCAGTTGCTCATGGCCCACCAGGCCACCCAGGCCCTCCACCATCTCCTCGCGGATCATCACAGCGGTTTCGTGAAACCCAGTGGAGCGATCAAGGCGGCCATGGTGGATGGGTCCAGGATTTGAAGAACTGATGCGACCCGCGGGTCTCAGCAGTCTGAGATACTCTGTGGTCAACTGCAACCAAACAGAGTTGCTGAACTAGTTGCTGAGCATTGCTGAGTACTCTGGTCCAAAACAATGTACTCTTTGTGCAAGAGTGATATCTTGCTGAATTAAAAATTGCAAGATGTTCCTCCCCAATAGTATTGTTGTGCTGTTACAAAGAAGTGTGCACATGGATGAAATAATGTGATACATTTTGGGCTTCAAAGGTCTTCACCTTGGACAAACGGACGAGAGAAACAACATACCACAAAGCAACCTTTATCAGGATTCCAGCTGGCTATCTTCAGAGGTTGAATTCTGGATGTGAAAATCCAACCTGCAACACATGTGTTCATTCTTCTCTGGTCGCCACTTCTGTCACTTCTGGGTCAACTGAGCTTCTGGCCTCGGACGCCACCTCAGACGCCTCATTGCGGTCGGCGAGGTCCGGCTAAAGCATGAGTTTTTCTGGAATGAGCAGAATGGCCGACCAAATGTGCGAGTGTTCAACCACCTTGATGGCTTTCTTGTTGAGGTCCTCCCCAAGATTTTCCACATGAACCCTTGCAACATTTGATGAGTCAAGTCCCTCTGTGGAACTGCACCAGATCTTTCCACACTTGAGACCACTCAGCACACACATATATAATAGTTAACATTCTACATATTTAAGGCAACCTTGCTGCTTAGCCGCGTTTAGCGGGCATATGTTCGCAACATGATATCCAACAATCCAAGCGAAACCCTGCAAAACTCCTCCACCCCTTCCAAACAACGAACCGTCGCTGCCCCACAGGGTCCCTCACTGCGACTTCCACGGGAGGCGCAGCAATCGCGGCCTCAACTCTGGTGAAGTAAATCTGCCAGTCTTAGGCTTCACAAATGTTGCAATCAATTGGAACTAGGTTGGAGGCCATCGCTAGTAGGTTGGAGGCCATCGCTGTTAGGTTGAAGGCCAGTGCTTGTAGGGTGGAGGCCATCGCTAGTAGATTGGAGGCCAGCGCTGTTAGGTTGAAGGCCAGTGCTTGTAGGTTGGAGGCCATCGCTAGTAGGTTGGAGGCCATCGCTGTTCGGTTGAAGGCCAGTGCTTGTAGGTTGGAGGCCATCGCTGGGAGGTTGGAGGCCATCGCTGTTAGGTTAAAGGCCAGTGCTTGGAGGCCATCGCTAGTAGGGTGGAGGCCAGCGCTATTAGGTTGGAGGCAATTGTAGGTTGGAGGCCATCGCTAGTAGGTTGGAGGCCAGCGCTTTTAGGTTGGAGGCCAGTGCTTGTAGGTTGGAGGCCATCTAGGGTGGAGGCCGTCGCTAGTAGGTTGGACGCCAGGGCTGGCTTGTAGGTTGGAGGCCATCACTAGTAGGTTGGATGCCATCGCTAGTTGGTTGGAGGCCAGTGCTTGTAGGTTGGAGGCCAGTGCTTGTAGGTTGGAGGCCACTACTAGTAGGTTGGACGACATCGCTAGTAGGTTGGAGGTCATCGCGATTAGGTTGGCGGCTGATTGGAGGCCATTGCTTCGCGCTTGGAGGCAAACTCTCGTAGGTTGGAGGCCAGCGCTATTAGGTTGGAGGCATCACTTGTAGGTTGGAGGCCATCCCTAGACCGGGCAATCACTTGCGCGCTGGGAATTTACTTCACTTGCGCACTGGACATCACTTGCGCGCTGGGCATCAATCAGTTGTGCACTGACCTGCTTCCTAGCTCCGGGGTGGGGCCTACCCCACATGAAACTAATGAGTGGGTTGGGGTGGGGGGTGGGGGGGTGGGGTGGGATGGGGGGGGGGGGGGTTGCAGTTGCCAACCATACAGTGTGACTTCGAAGTGCTGAATAGGTTGCCCGGTTGGACACGGTCAACTTCTCTACCCCCCCCACACACACACACACTTAGACAATTTGTTTGCAGTTAACTCAATTCCACGAGTAAAGGAATGGTTCAACGGCAAGGTGAAGCGTCCGAAAACTTAAAGGTGTTTGAACAAAAGTTAACGCGTGACTGCAGAACACTTATTGCTGAATACTTAGCAGACCTAGGCCCTAGGAAAGGAAAGAGTGAACCGACAGGTGAAAAGTCAGAGTACTTGAAGGTTTTTGAACAAAGTTGACGCGTGGCTGCCGAAAACTGGTTACTGATTACTTAGCAGACTGAATGAACGCCGTGCAAGCAAACCTGTTTTGGGGGATAGCGTGCATAACCACCATGGAAGCAAACCCGAGGAGTGAAAAAGCTTGGCCAAAAGTTTCAATTGCAGGTGCACACCAAGGCGTCCCTTGGTGCTTCCCCTGGATGTGACAGGCCTGGCCCCCCTGCATATAAGAAGAACTCCTTGGGACGGAGTGTGACACACACACACAGAGCGCCGATATCGGCGCTCGAGAGGAAAATTTACTAACCACCCAAAAAGCCTTAGAAAGAAAGAACCAGAAAAGACAGAAAGAGAAACGAAAAGGGCAAAAGAGAAAGATAGGTATAGTTACGAGGCCCACTAGTTGCGAAACCTTCTAGTTACTGACGACTTAGCCGCATGAATTAAATACACTAGTTAGCGAGCGGGACATTAGTCTTAAACCGCCCGGGTAGATAGGAGTAGGACAGGGGAAACAGAAGGAAAGGCACCGACGCACAAGTGTGTCGAGTACCATTTCCTTCTGTTACCCTAGATAGCGGGTGGGATAAAGGAGTGAATTCGGGTGCAAGGTGGGGGGGTGCGTGGATGTGTGTGTGTGTGTGACACACATATATATATATATATATATGTGACCGTAAGCCCGGCGGCGTGGAACTTCCGTCAACTCGGCAGCATTGAATCAGGAAAATCATTGGGTGAAAAACATCAGGAAACCATAATCCACGAACTCAAGACGCTAAACCAATTTGCGATCCACGATGAACTCAGCGCCCCAGTGACGGGGATCACACTCTGCACCCAGTGGGACGACAGAGCGGCACACACTTAGACAATTGGTTTGCAGTTAACTCAATTCCACGAGTAAAGGAAATCGTTCAACGGCAAGGTGAAGCGTCCGAAAACTTGAAGGTGTTTGAACAAAAGTTAACGCGTGGCTGCAGAACACTAGTTACTGAATGCTTAGCAGACCTAGGACCTAGGAAAGGAAAGAGTAAACCGAAATGCGAAAAGTCAGAGTACTTGAAGGTTTTTGAGCAAAAGTTGACGCGTGGCTGCCGAAAACTAGTTACTGATTACTTAGCAGACTGAATGAACTCCGTGCAAGGAAACCTGTTTTGGGGGATAGCGTGCATAACCACCATGGAAGCAAACCCGAGGAGTGAAAAAGCTTGGCCAAAAGTTTCAATTGCAGGTGCACACCAAGGCGTCCCTTGGTGCTTCCCGTGTCACATCCTAGCTTCGTTGGGCCAGGTTGGATGTGACAGGCCTGGCCCCCTGCATATAAAAAGAGCTCCTTGGGACGGAGTGTGACACACGCACACACGTTTTGATTGCCTTTCAAAGCACACTTCTGCCACGCAAACTCAAATGCTTCGGCGTGGGTGTGTTGTTTGTGTAGTGTACGCGTGCAACCAGGACTGGAAATCGTTTTATGTCTCTCCGTGTCTTTGGAGCCATGGATGCAAAAGAAGACGACCAATGAATCACTCACGGACACCCTGTCTTCCGACTTGCTTGCTTAAATGCGCCATAAATCTTCTGAAAATCGCAACACCAATACAAACAAAACCACAACAGTCAAGTGCGCAAGCGACTAAAATTTCACGGGTTGGAGGCATTACTTAAATTTACTTGTAGGTCGGAGGCCAGCGCTAGTAGGTTTGACGCAATCGCTGTTAGGTTGGAGGCCATCGCTTGTAGGTTAGGGGTCATCGCTAGTAGGTTGGAGGTCATCGCTATTAGGTTGGAGGCCATCGCTAGCGTCGCTAGTATTGGAGTGAGGCCAGCGCTCATAGGTTGGAGGCATTACTTGTAGGTTGGAGGCCAGCGCTACTAGGTTGGAGGCCATTGCTTGTAGGTTGGAATCACTTGCCACTCTCATCCTTTTGGCGTCGCTCTCCCGATGCCTCTCCCGAAACATCCAAAATCACTTTTCTGCCCTACAAAGGATCAAGTCCTCAGGGTTCAGAACAACTGAGCGCTTAACCCCAAACATCTATGGCTAATAAGGTATGAGTTATGTGTCTTTCATGTTGCGACCAATCCCCTGAACCACAGCTCCGACAACTCTGGAAGCAACCAATAGCAGCCAAACACTCCTAGAGCTTTCTACTGAAAAATCAACAGAACCAATGGATGTGGCCTGTCCAAACAAAGGTTTTTCCTCGATGTTCCTGTCGAGACATATCCTATGACACAAGTCCTTCTCGCCACTTACAGACCGCTCCGCCCCTCCGCCTCAAAAGATGGGAGCTCATCATCCTCCACAAGCATGGGCGCCTCAGGGGCAGCCTAAGAGTGACAGAATGTTGCGAGCGTGTTCCACGGTCCAACATAACGGTTTGAGAACTGTTCTCTATTGAACTGCTCCCTCTGTGCTGGTCGAACAAAGAACACGTGGTTTTCCAACGCAACTGCTTGAACCTTTTTGGGAGGTGCAAAAGATTATTCTCTTCCGATCTTCAAGGAACAACAGAAGGTAAGATCGCCTTCAACGGAAGAAACTAGCGCATGCAAACACCAGGAGTTTCTTGAGGAAACAAATGCTAGCCAGGTTCAAAATCAACCCCTCGCCATGTAAATACTAGCTGTGCTAGCTACAGTAGTCTGAGTGTTTGACTTGCTTAGATGGCTCGTCTGGTTGCTGTGCGGCCTCTGGCTGGGAAGCCGGCGCCTCCAGCTGCTGTCAAGATTGTG